ATAAGGTACCTAATTATAGTAAATCTACAACGTGAGTTCGAGATACTAGCTTGATCAAATAATTCGTAGTAGCCCCCCCTCCTCCTGCCCTCCTCTCTTAGTTTTTAATATAGACATTTTATAACCGACCTTGATAATCCTAGCCCTACCAGACCACCAGACTATCATAACACCCTCTAACAGCAAATCTAGTAACGAAAAGAAGATATGCCAATATCAAGGAAGCTTCTATTAACCGATTAACATGAATGCCAATTCACCCCCGCACTTACTACCAACTATTTTGTTAATATTAGGCCGTGCACGCTCCAACGCCAACCACAAGTCTAGTCTATCTCCCCCCTAACCCCGTAATTCCATAGGAAATCCACAAAGAAACGAAGCTTGAATTCACGCAGTAATCCGGGGTTTCCGGGCATCAAGCTGCAAGGACGCAGACGTCGCCTCAACAGCCGGCAAAGCAGCCACCATCCTTGCATGAGCCAATTCCTCCTCGATCTCCGCCTGGCGGTTCAAGTAGCTCAGGTAAGTCTGCCAGCCGACGGCAACGACGCCCGAAACGACGCTGCGGTACTCGACGGGGACGAACGTGAAGGTGAAGGCGGTAACGGCAGGCCACAGCTTCCAGGCGTTGACCCAGCTGACAGGGACGGTGCGGCGGATCCGATCCCAGGTCTCGGCGATAGAGTCCCCGGATAGCAGCGCCTGGGCGCCGAAGAAGTAGCTGTTGAAGGTGGGCGTGAAGACGAGCTGGTTGACGACGATCTTGACGCCGAGCGAGAGGATGTGGGATGGGTAGTTGAAGTGGCGGGAAAGCCAGACGAACCTAGACAACTGCGTTAGTTCTGATGTTTGGCTTCGTTATATCACGTATTAGGTACCCAGGAAGGCACCGATGATGCACATGTATTGCCCACTGTTCAATATATACCTCGAGACATAGGGTAATAACGATCTAGATCCACGACCAACCGAAAGGGGAGGATAAGAAAAATGAATACGACTCACCACAGAAAGGTCGGCACAGCAGCTACGCCGCCAATAGCCATATTCCTAGCACTACGTTCCGGCACGTAGTCCTTGCCACCTATACGCTGCGCACTAACATCGGCAGCCAGATAAATAACAAGCGCGGAGACGATCTGCGTAGCCCAGGGTCTTTTCCGCTGAGCACGACCGTAAGCTTCGCCGGCGCGTGTCAGGGGGCCGAGTCTCTGCCACAGGGGTACGGGAGGAACTGGTGTGCTACCCACCGGGATCGGATCCCCGGTTGGCGGTTTTTGTTTCGCGGCCTCGCCTCCGTTGCCGGGCTTCGGACCGGGAGTGCTGGACTGGAAGCGCCGGGGCGTTGAGCGTGGTAGACGTCCGACGCGCAGGTGCTCTAGGCGCTGCCGGAATATGCCGCGGAGCAGCACGGATGTAGAAAGTGGCATGGTAGCTTAATTGCGGCGGGTGAATTTTAAGTTAAGGGAAGGCGTCTAAAGGATATGTTCTGGGGGTGGTTATTTTATTTGCACGGGTATACTAAATGATCAACCTTTTTTTCCCCATCCGAATGCAAATGTAGTCTAGGAAGCTAAGTAGAGATCGAATAGTTAAGGAAGAAAAGAAAAATATGTTAAGGTAAGTATTTTGCGAAACGAAGGTGGGAAACTTGTAAATGGGAGAAAGGAAATAATATCAACATATCTAACCTAGACTCGTTTGCGAGATTTCGGAGTCACACAACTCGCATATTGATACTCCGAGTGTGTAACGGCTTTATAAGATGCTACCCGGTTAGGTTATAAAGTTAATGGCGTCGGATTCTACTCGGTCTTAGTCGGAAGTCCGAGGCTTAAGGCTTAACGGGATGGAATTCCCAACATCTTGGGAACTTATAAACTTCATAAACTTCATCCGTAGCATTATCCATTATCTTCAGCTACTATTAATATTCCAAGTATATAAAAACTCGGGTTTCTAATTTCTAATCGAATAATCCTTACGCCGTCGATGCCAAAAACTGCATGATTTGCTACAACCTCCTCAAAGGTATCTAAGCCAGTCCATGGATATACCTATATTAGGTTATGTCCCTATTAATCTAACTCACCACTCACATACCCAATCTGCCTCTGCGCTCTGGGTCCTGCGCCTGCTATATTCGCAGCTAATGTACTCTGGCTATCAACTAATTTCCGTTGCTCCTGTATTCTATTCTTGAGTCTTGCATCTGCTACCTGGTCTAGGCGCTCTAATTCCTCCCTCTCCCGGAGTCTTATGCTGCTTAGCTGGTTTGCGTTGCCAACGCGTTCGCTGCCCACGTCACGCTCCCACTGGAGCATACGGCTTTGCTTCTGTGCTTCAACGGCAAGCTCCGCGTCGGCGAGAGCCTGCGCCCGTGTTAACCCGGCGTGTGTCAGTGCCTCTTGATGCTTGACCTCGGCTACGTGGCGTGCGCGTTGCTGTCGCATTGTGCTGTTGAATAGTTCTTCTTCGACGCGCGCGCGGTCCTGTATAGCTGATAGGTCTGCGCTGTGCGCCCGTTTTTTGCGCACCTCTTCTAGCTCTGCTTGGTTAGCCCAGATTTGCGCTTGCACTGCCGCTAACTCTTTATTCCGCTGAATCGCGAGCGTGTGATCCTCGTTTTCCTTTTGAAGACGGACTAATCGCGCCTTACGTTCCTGTTCTTCGAGTTGGATATTAGTCGGCATGCCGATAGCATCGTCAGGCTGCGGACCGGAGTTGGAATAGTATACATCAGTCCCCCGGTTTGCTTTTAGCAGTGCTAAGAGCTGTGACTTGTGATCCGAATCTGGTAACACGCGCTGAACATACATAGGGTGAGAGTAGGTGAATTTGCCATCATTAAAGTAGTTGAATGGTTTATTAATGTATCTCCACATGTCGGCCCGTAGCAGGATTTTCGTTGTGGTCAAGGGGTCAGTTGATTCGAGAGCTAAAAGGAGGACGGATTTCCCATCAGATTGTAGCGTGATATCGGATTCGCTCTGGAGGAGGAAATTTATCGCCTTTTCCATCGCTTTTTCTCGGCGAGGCGTCATCTCGCTGAAGTCAGCGGCGTGTAGGCATAGCTCTCCAAGTGCACTCCGTCCACCATGCAGAGGGCTGGGAAAGTCAGGGTCATGTCTATATTCGACCAATACTTGCATGGCTTGCAGGTTAAGCTCTCGTGCTGCATTGTGAAGTGAGCCATCATTTCTCGAAGCACCTGCCGCTAGCAAATTAGACATTATGGTGATAGCCAAGTCACCGCCGATAGAAGATGCCATAGACAAGGGGGATTTCCCTGTCGCATCTGTCACGTCAACTTCAGCATCCGCCAGCAGTAGAGACTTCACAATATCTTGCCGACGGTATTGTATGGCTAGCATAAGAGGAGTAACACGAGAGATGGGAGCTTCAAAATTAACTTTAGCACCCCTCTCGATCAGTAAATTGATAACTCCGCTACTGATTTTCTTCTGAGGTTGAATAAGGGCCCACATGAGCAGAGTAACAGTCTCTTCTTCCTCTATCTCCTGCATTACTCTGCACGTTGTCAGTTGGTCATGATAGAACCCGGCATCTAGTAATGCCCCGAGAATCTTCGTAGATCGTGGGAACTGGTTTAGAGCTTTGACGAGTATAGGCTCCGAACCAGTTTGGATGAACGCGACATCCATCCGGTTTTGTCCATCACCGTATTCGACGAATAGTGTGATAAGATCATATATGTCATCTTCAGATGCGGAAGCGTCGAATACGCGAGGTAACGCAAACGTTAGCGCTTGGGGGTTGGGATTCTCGCGTAGGAGTCTTTTAAGAAGATTGGGATCTCCTTGCGCAGCTGCATTCTGCAACGCCTCTCCGTGGTTGTAGTTGACGTCGGCGCCGTGTTTGAGGAGCAAATCCACAAAGTCGTTTGCTAACTGCGCATGTGTTTCGATGTATAACCCAAGTACTGTGGCAAATGCTGATCCAACTCCATCGCCGATAGCACCTTTCTCTAGTAGGCATTTGGCAACCTCGTAGCCCCGACCAGATAACCACGACGAAACACGATCGGGCGCAAATGCCCTACTGAACACTAAGGAGGTGTCCTCGACAGTGATTTGAGTATCTAAGAGCTTGGAAAATGCTGATGGAGATAGCGTTGTAGTCGCGTCAATTAAAGTCTGGCAACCATCTGCGGTAGCAGAGGCACGGTGGTTTACAAGAAGCTCGATAAGTCTCTCGTCAGGATCTTCCTCATTGACAGCACGGTTCAGAGAAGAATGAAGAGCGCTGGGAACCGGCCTTCCTGCTTGGAAAACCCAATTCATAATGGCAAATCTCGTGTCTCTGCTTAGGTCCCAGCAAGCATCCATCGCGCGGACCAAAGTGTGAGAAGATGGTCGTTTCTGACGCCCACCGACCTCAACAATGCCTAATAGCATCTCCAAGCTACCCAAAAAGGCGCTCCTCGCTGCTTTTTCGACAGCCTCTCCATCATTGTAATCAGGACTCGCCCCGTACACTAGCAGAAGTCGGACGAGATCTTTCCCGTCGTCTCCATACCTCCCAGCTGATACGAGTTGAGCGTCGACTACTTCTCCAGAGACTCCCACTTGCAAGAGCAGTTTGAATATCTCTGCTCGCTTCTTCAAGTCTCCTACTTGCGTAGCGGCTTGAAATCCTCTCTGCAACGTTTTTTGGGCGACTCTTGATTCGCCTGCTAGCAGCATTGCGAGGACGTCGACTGCCCCTGCCTTGCAAGCTTCTATGATGGCCTGGCCGTCCTTATGTTCTACGCTGCCCCCATTCTGTACTAAAATGGTACCGAACTCTACGTCGCCATCGGAAGCGGCTGCTAATAGCGCATCCGATACTACTTCTCCCGATGCGCCAGCTTTTAGTAAACTGATAGACGACATGCTTCTCGATCTTTTGTTTTTGCCTCTCGTTGCCTGGGCAAAACTTGTGTTGAGAATCTCAACGGGGAAAGTCTTCTTGCCTAGAATCAGCTCTACGACGTCCTACTTTTCTCCCTTGACAGCTTCGATCAAAGCCAGGCCGTCTCGAGTATCTGCACGGGCTAAGAGAGTATTGATGAGCGGTATGTCGTCTGGATAAGTACTGACGGCAAAGACGAGAGCTCTATTCACTTCAGTTGCCGGTATACCGCCTTCTAGGATTTTTTGCGCGAACGTTAGTCTATCCATCAATTCACGAATGCGCAGGGCGTGAGGCATAGCAAATGCCATCGAAGTAGGGGTTGGAGTGGCTGTGAATAAAAGCTCTACCAGTTGCATGTTTGCCGCGGCCACCGCTCGACACAACGCCTCGGCATTCATAGCATTGATATCGGCACCGTTTGCTAGTAGGACTTTTATTGAAGAGAAATTTTGGTCGTGCGAAGGTACTTTTAAAACAGCTAACACCTCTTGTAAGAGCAGCTTGGTGGCCGTATCCTTCGACTGCGTTCGGCGTAATATCACATCTAGCTTTTCGGTTTTACCTGTGGACATTGGAAGATTTCCTATACTCTTTAGACCCCGTTCTAGGCTACTAGCATTGGGCTGCCCTAAACATAGAATCATTCCTAGAATTTCCGGATCGGAATGTAGCGCGGCACGCTCTACAGCTATCCCCTCATTAACATTAACATCCGCATTCCCTTGCTGCAGTAATGTTTTAAGCAGTCGTTTATCTGGCAGATCAATCTGTATCGCTGCCTCGACAGCTGCCGATACTTCAGGTCCCCCCTGTGATGCACCGGCTGCTAAGAGCATGTTGATCATTTGAAACCGTATCGAGCCTTCATCGACTTCCATAGCCCTAGGAATCGCCTTGGCTGCTACCTGGATTGTGGGCTTGCTTTTGAGCAATCGTTCTAAGAGTCGGACATCCTTCTGTGAAATAGCTGCCGTAATAGTGTGACCTTCGTTAAAATTTACATCTGCATTATAACGAAGGAAAAGGGCGATGAGCTTCTCATCTCGGTGCGGTGGTTGCTCGTCTATGGCGTTCTCGAGGGCCGAATGAACCGACGGTCCAGTAAGTCCAGCTCTTAGAAATAACTCCGAGGTCTGATACCGCTCAAGGGGGCGTAGATTCCGCACGCTAGGGAAGATCTGAGCGAGAGCAACAGGATTAGGCGGCTTATTCGAAAGAATCAAGTTCGCAATAGCTACGTCCCCTTTCTTCACAGCGATCTGCAACGCTAGGGCACCTTTATGATCTGTCGACGCAATCTCATGTCTCTCAAATACCATGCTTCGCGGACCTTTCCGAATATCTTTAGCCCCGACGATTTTACCTTCGGGAAACAGCGGCGTGAGAAGTATTTTAACCGCCTCGACGTCGCCGGCTTCTACTGCGTCGATTAGCGCCTCATCCAAGGGCGCCCCGGATGCACCTTTACGAAGTAGTAGATTAAGGAGAGAGTGACGTTCTTCAAATCTCAACTTTTTTGGCAAAAGCTCTACGCACTCTGACGCATAATGAGAGCTGAATCTAGATTTCCCACTTAACATAACCTCTACCAAGTCGACTTTTCCCTTTGAGACAGCTTTGCGAACAGCGATCGCATCCTGATATTCGATTGATGCACCATAAGAGACCAAGAGATGCACCATTTCGAGAAAGTAAGTGGCGCACGATTGTACCAGGGCTTTCGATACCAGATCACCTTCCGCCCCGGCGCACAACAAAATCTCCGCCATGGCCATCTTTTCGTTGGGATTGATGTTTTGGTGACTCATGAGCTGGTCAAACGCCTCGTTAAGACCGGGTTGGGCTGGTGGTTTATTACCGAGAACAATAGCGAGGACGATATCTCTCCGGCCGAGAGCTACGGCAGCTTTCAACGCGGCGGCACCATCGTGATTACCGTCTGCTGTTGACTGGCCGAGGTGCATTACTGTACCCAGACACCCAACCCTCGCTGCCTCAACCATGGATTGTGACATCCACGACAATGACGGCCGTCCGTCGGATCCCAGAATAAGCGCGACTAGATCGGGCTGGCCACCAATGGCGCATACCTGTCGAAATGCATCTTGTCCGTCGGCAGTCTGAGCTACACTCGCGCCATATCTTATGAGAAGTGCGACAATCGCCGCGTTTCCACCACGAATCGCAGTTGGCAATGCGGTATCTAAGCTTAAAGCATCAGCGTAGGGCAAAAGAACCTCGATCATTTCATAATGGCCATTCTTGACGGCTATTTGGAGCACTTGGCTGCGTTCGGCTAGATCGAGACTCTTTCTTCTGCTTAATAAACTAGTTCGACTCTTCTGCGCCAAGTTGAGGTTCCCTCCAGCTAGATTTAACTTGAGTATTAGGCATTCGGCAACGCCTGGTGATCCTTGGTTCGTAATATGAGCCACGAGGGTGCTATAAATTTCTCGGTATTCCCATGTCTTTTTTTTGTTGTGAAGGCACGCGAGATACTCCCCTTCGGCTGGTGACCTTGAGATTCGCTAATGCGCTGTCTCTTAAGTAACTCTTCTGCTATAAACTCATCGTTATCTGTCCGGTAGGATGGCGGCTGATCAGGCCTCGGCAAGGGTGACGGAGGAGGTTGACTAGTTATACCCCATTCTTCGCCCAGTGCTTGAAGTCGCGCTTGCTTATTTTCCTGAATATATGTGCGCTCCATGCTATAGATGAGACCAGGCGCGTAGCATTAAGCGAGTAAAATCTTCTTTTAGGGAGACATAGGAGAATACTACTCCCAGATGATGTCAATGTTGAATTAAGCTACGAGCTTGGTCATAAATGCAAATGTACCCCAGTAAATTTAGAAGATATCTTAGGTAGGTATTTAGAAGATATCTATCTCATAGCCTTTTGGTAGCTATATTTTGGACTAAAGGAAAAGGATGAAGGCAGTTGATAAATTGTGGCCAACGATCTGACGGATAATAAAATTACCAGGTAAGTAACGAAAATAAAACGCTATGCTTCAATCAATGCAGATAATTGATTATTTCCTGTTTACCAAGAACGAGGTAAACGAGTGATAATAAGAACGAATGTGATGTTGAATAAGAATAAAAAGATACGAGTAACGAGTAAAAGAGAAGAAAAGACATGAGATGTTTCATTACGCCTCGAAAGTTATGAGACACGCCAGGGTCCAGGAGAGAAAAGAGCTTAAGCCACATCCAGGGGTCTTGAGAGTCTTGGGAGTTTTGGGAGTTTTGGGTGGATCTACGAGCGGGAAACATGTGGAGCCTAAGCTACAGGCAAGGTTCTTATAGGTACATTATATTAAGTAGAGATTTAAGTAGAGATTTAGGTAGAGATTTAGATACCACAGATGGTGGCTGTGAAAACATTTCCGTCATTTCTCCATCTAACCTCGTCTAATAGTAACCTTGTTTAACCTCGTCTAACTTCGTGCTGCTGTGAACTGCCACGCATCCCTCGGTCTCTGATTCGCTTACCGGCCTGCCGACCTGCAGTATGTGGGATGCCGTCGCGTCCAGGCAGTAATATAAGTAATTATTAGTAACTACGTGTGGTAACCATCTGCAGTTTGCTGCGTACTATACTCATGTTGCCCAACTGATCACCCTTCTCATGGTGGTAGCGAGTACCACAAGTACGTTGGTTTAACAGCTGATTCGACACCGTCTTTCTAGACAAGCGTCTTGGTAGACGGGTAGCTTAAAGCGTAGAGTGGCTATGCATACTCTATCTATCGGGTTGAGGTACGTAACCAGAATATCTTGGGTTGTAGTTGGAAGTCTTGGATAAACGAAACTGCAGGGATATCGTAGACGACGAGGCACAATTCACCATGTATGACAAATCGGAAAACAGCTGGGTTACCCTTGATTGGATGGAAAGGAGTGCACAATTCATGTTCGATGACAACTTGATGTTATCATCATCTAGTGGCTCAGCTCGAGCGCAACGCTCATAAAATCTTCATCTGAATACTAACGTAGATTTACTTCTATCACTATCTCGACTCTTTAACATTATTCACCTAACCTGTCGACGGGAGGCGGTTCGCGTTTCGGTATCAAGGTGGAGCTCTCGTCTATTCTATAGGTAAACGCGCAAGGATCAAATTGCATTGCCCAGTCAAATTAAGTTGCTAATCAACTCTCACCAATAATGCGACTTGGAGTAGTTATCTACTCACGTATCAAGAGGCCTTACCCTTGACGCCGGCTAGTAGTTCGGCTGGAGGCTCCTGTCGGTATCCCTTCGGGTTGTTCGACACCCATCTCCATAGATCCTCGCATGCCTTCTCCATGGTGAGCTCTGTCTTCCACTGCAATTCCTGGTTCGCCCGCGTCGGGTTGGCAGTGAGATCTAGCACATCGCCTTGTCTTCGTGGTACTACCTCATATGGCAGGTCGCGGCCGACAACCTTGCTGAATGCCTTGATGATCTCGAAAACGGTGCTACCTCTGCCAGAACCTAGGTTCCATGCCTTGACGCCGGGCTTGTGTTCACGAAGATAGTTTAACGCAACTAAATGACCCTTTGCAAGATCGACGACGTGGATGTAGTCGCGGATGGCAGTTCCATCTCGGGATGAATAGTCTACGCAATATTTTTATTAGTGTCTTCCATATCATCAAATTTTTGGGACCAAGCCTGGCTTACCATCTCCGAAGACTAGAATTTTCGGCCGATCACCAGTCGCAACTTTGCCCAGCAACGGCAATAGGTTATATGGTACGCCTTGAGGATCCTCACCCATAATACCGGTAGGGTGTGCACCACACGGGTTGAAGTACCGCAGGTTAGCGCCATTCCATTGCTCAAACGGCTTGTCGGCCTTCTTCAAGTTCTGGCGCTGCGCACCGATAAAATCCTCGATTATGTTTTCGACAATAGCCTTGGTTCTTCCGTAAGTGTTTGTAGGCCCAATAGGGCAGTGCTCAGGAATGGGAATCATGTTCTCGAAACGAGTCGCGTCACCGTAGACCGTTGCTGAGGAGGAAAACACTATGTTGGTAACATCATGCTTCTTCATGGAACCCAAGAGGGAGATAGTACCACCAACGTTTACGCGGTAATACTCGAGAGGGATCTCGGCAGATTCGCCGACAGCCTGGTTCGTAAGTCAGCGACATGGCATAGGCGATGGAGAGTTGGCGAGCTTGCCTTGAGCGCGGCAAAGTGAATAACGCTGTCGATTTGGGGATGAGCAGCAAAGACTTTGTCGAGCTCATCTTGCTCTGTTAGGTCAACTTTGTAGAAAGTTGGCCTCTTGCCGGAAATGAGCTCGATGCGGTCGAGAGCAACCTCGGACGAATTGTATAGGTTGTCTACAATGATGACTTCATAACCATGCTCAAGCAAGGCAAGCGTGGTGAAAGATCCAATGTAGCCGGTACCACTATTTGCGCATGTTTATTAGCATAAACATATAACTTAATTGACGACTTGTCTTTGTTCTAGGATGTAATAATTATAAAGGAGCGGCGCGAAAAGAGCGAAGAGGTATACGAATAGGTTCAAAATAAACTTGACTTACCCGGTAATCAGAACAGTTCCTACAGCCATCTTTAAAAGTTGAACAGACCAATTGATGGGATGAAAAGGATAGAGGATACGAACCACAATACAAATCGAGGCTTATAGAGGGGCACCTGTTTATAGAGGGGGGAGGAGAAGAAGATGTGCGATAGATATGCGATAGAGTCGCGACTTTTGGGGATGCGGCGGTCAACAGCGATCTCCATTTTAAAATTGGAACGAAATTGGAGGGGTTGCGGGTTTGCCCCTCCTTCCGATAGATGTATTTTACAGTAGATAAACCCTATTGGGACTGTAGAAGATGCAGTAGCGGGGTTATAATTACACAGTATGAAGACATTAGAGACATAGGAGGACATACATATGTATTTAAGAGGACATGGGTTATTAACCATCAGTCAGTCGGTAGTCTGTTAGAAGTTATCACACAAACAGGTCAGATCAACGCTATACATTGTGTCGCCATTAACATGGATAATTTGACTTGTAATTTATCTACCTTGGTATTGATACCGCATAAGCTTTTTGTAATGACGATGCGTTGACGATCTATAAGCTTCTGGATAATTACTAATAATATGAGATATTATCTCAGCTAGCTTAAATTAGAAATTGGAAAAATGGTTCGGGGGGAAGTACTTCCTTTAGCCACACCTTTTTCTAATCAATTACACTCCGGTATACCTTTCCGAAAACATTTTTCAATCTTTAGTTTAAGGCGATTTTGGACATTTTTCCCTTAATTGGTATAATAATAATTAAATCAATTGAAAATATTAATTTTAAGTAAATAAAGTCTTTATATAAGAAATAAGTATTAATTCGATCATTTAAATAGGTTATTATATATAAAACGTACGCGTTTTAAGTCGAGATTAGCTATAGTATCGGTTGCAACCAATGCGATAGCTGTAATAAACGTTAAAGCTTATAACATTATAACGCGATGTCGTATAAGTATGTAAAAAAGACGGGAAGGTAGCGAAAGCAAAGGATTAGCCTCGAATGATTGAATATAAGGTATTTTAGACGTGGTTGTGGATAGTTATGGGTGTAAACGCGTGGGTATAGGCGCATGGGTATAGGCGCGTGGGTGCAGGCGCGTGAATATAACGTTTTGAAGCTATTTAGACGTTGAGGCTTACGATATTATAACGCGATGTCGTATAAGCATATAAAAAAGGTTAAAATGTCTGGGCAATTGAATAGATAGTTTCGGATTAAAAAATAGAAGGTATTTTAAACGTGGTTATGGGTGGTTGTGGGTATAAACGCGTGGGTGCAGGTGCGTGGATATAGCGTTAAGACTATTTAAACGTCGAGGCTTACAATATTATAATGCAATATTGTATAAATATGTAAAAAATATAGGAAGGTAGTTAAAGTAAAGGATTAGTTTCGAGTGATTAAAATAGAGGGTATTTTAAACGTTGTTATTGTTTATTATGTTGTTGTCAATATAGTTTTATTAAAAGTTTTTAAATGTGTATCAGGTGCGGTTAAAAACCCCAAACGTCTCTAAGATTAGAGTTCGAGGAACGCCTCCCCCACAACCCATAATACAAATATACGGACTAAGGGTTTTGTGGCGTCTATGGCGTTAATAAGGGGGGGAGGCGGAAGGCGAAGCCCGCTCCTCGAATTTTAGTTTTAGCATATTAAGATAAATGAGATATGTTTATTATATAAACAGGTGCATATAGTTGATTTATTAAGAGATAAGTTCCAAAAATAAATTCTAACGTTATTATGATTAATGTAAGGGAAATCCAAACCGTTTGTTTATGTAAATGGGATGAAAAACCAAGGATCAATGATCGAACTATAGTACGCCCTTTGTAATAATTTTAACTTATTGGACATGCACGTTACAAAACATAGGTTATATGACGTTACAGCTAGGATTATATAACGTAACTAATATAAAAAATAATATAACTTAAATCGATAAAATCGTATCATAAATAAACCATAAATATTTTATAAGTTTATTTTTAATGTATAAATACTTATTTAAAATAATATTAAAATAACGTTAAATTATTAATTTACAATTAAATATTATAATAAAAAAAAAAATTTTTAAACTTTTTTTACTATTAATACTTCTATTATTTTTAATAAATTACGTTATTTTTAACCATATTTTTAACTTTATTTATTTAATTAAATAACTTTTTTTTTTTAATTTTATAATATTTTATTATTTAAAGTTTATTATATTAAAAAATAAAAATATATAATAATATATAAAATATATAATTTATATTTTTTTTCTATATAAATTTATTTTTTTTAAAAATAACTTATACTTAACATTTCTTATCTTTTTTTTATATTATT